TAGCCGCGGGTGGTAAAACATGACAAAGCCCATCGCTCCCCAGTCCAAGGCTGTGTGGCGTGCTTGTTCTTCCCATCAAAGACATAGACCTTCTCCTTAGTGTCGACAAGGTAACCGGGGAGGGCCTTGCCGTCGCCATCTTGCCTCCAGGTTGTGCCTGGGACATCGGCGTCCCGTTCGGGGTCACTGATCCACAACTCGCCTCCGGAAAAGTTGCCGAAGGAGACTGTCTTGATAGTGGTATCCGGCATGTTGTGCACATCAGAATGTACATTGGTGGCCGCGTTCTTGAACAACACAAAGGAAGTCCACTGGCCATAACCCTGTGCCTTCAGGAAGGAATTCATGAACTTGACTGTCCACGGCAGCTCCCGGCTTCCTCTGGAGATCCCCTTCATGTTGCCGTGAGTGTACATGCCTCCGAGGAAGTACTCGAAGTGGTTCCCGCCGCTGCGTAGGACGCCCTTTCCTTTCTTGAGCTTGCCCAGGGGGACCAAGTGCGCGATCTCGAGGAGGTCTGCAAAGCTGAACTCTTTGTTCCCAAGCTTCCTGTAGGCGGTTTCTTCACATTTCTTGGCACGGTCCTTGCGCGACATTGATGCTCCAGAGGGCTCACGTTGGACTACATCCCCACTGCCTTCGGAACTCATAGGCTCACTTTTCCCATAGGTTACCGCATACGTCGTCACGGCGTCAACGTCGTAGAGGTTGTCGAGGAACTCATCGTAGGTGTCCTCGTTCGCGGCGGCCTCGTCGTCGTCGAGGACCTTGGGCTCGTTCGCCTCCTCGCACTCGTAGTAGACCTCGTCGATGTCGTCGCTGATCATCACCTTCATGGTCAGGGCGGGATCCCGTGCTGATCCTTCAGCACCGCCAGTCTCTCCTCCAGGTAGCGAACCTCCTCGTTGACATCCGTGGGGAGGTCCTGATCCATCCTGGTAGCCGTCGGTGTTGGGGGTCCATCCGCGGGCCTCCGTCTCGCTGGTGTCCTGGGGACCTGCATCATGTGGCTCGCAGCTTTGGCCTTGGCCTGTGGTGTCATCGGCGGGGCAAGAGCCTCGCGCTGAAGCACATCCCACGAAGCCGTTGAGCTCGCGTCCTCCACGTAGGGAACCGTCGCATTCACCTCGGGGTCGAAGCGGATGTTCTCGGAACTCCACGGAGGCTCGTCGTTCCACCTGTGGAGCTCGCCCTGCCACCAGTTGGCAAACATGACCAAGTCCTCCGACGGGTTGTCGTTCGACTCCACTTCGCGCAGAGCCCACGTCCTGTAGCTCAGCGGGGTCTCCTTGAACATCTTCCCGGCGTAGCGTCCGAAGCCGAGGATCGACTCCGAGCTCATCCCACCTTGGTCCCTCAAGATCCTCATGATCGTCCCGCGGGTCCCGTAGGGCGGCACATGGTATCCCAGCTCCAAAGCACGAGCTTTCAGCTGGTCCAGGGTCATCGCCGACATCCCCTTTGTCGCGTTGGCCGGATGGTTCGCCGACGGATTGCGGCGATCCTCTTGGATCGCGGAACGCAGCTCCACCGCAGTCCACTTCTCGTTGATCCATAGATTCCGGGCCCTGGCCTCCGCGAGGAGCTCTGCCTTGGTGAACTCCGACAGCGTCTTCGGACGGGTCACGATGGGAGCTGTCAGGAGATCGGAGCTGCTGGCCATCTGCGCAAGGAAGGCAAAGTGCGGGAGGGTCAGGCATTGATCGTCGTCTACGAAAGACACTCCTTCCGATCCAAAGAACAGGGAAAGAAGACTCATCTCGAGGCTCACTCCACAGACCATGTACGGCAGGAAACTCCTTGTGACTCTTACACGACACAGCATTGACACTCCGAACGGCGCCCAAAGTAGAGAGTAGCTTGTCCTTGTGGGGTGTGTTCTGGGTCCTCCAGTGCATAGGGCTAAAGAAAGACCTCCGCGGAATCACATGCACCCGGACCAGGAAATCTTCATCTTCTATCCAGAAGTCGTTCGAGATATTTGTAGATGACCACCATGCAGCAAAGGTTTCGGGATTGAAGTTCACATCCAGCAACAAGTTTCTTGTAGCGATCCCGACTCTCTTAGAGTAGAACAGGGGCACGTAGTCTAGAGCTGGCTTACCACGAGGTGTTCGAGGAAATGGGGTTCCATCATTCTTCATCACCTCATCTTGTACGTACACCATCCAGCTAGTCAAACAGCTCCTGGATCCCGAAGACGTCGAAGCATCAACCCCATCATCACCATCATCGCATAGACCCCTGCTCGCACGTGCACTCATGTATGGCTCAGCTTGCGGGACAATCTTGATCTCCGATGAGTCCCACTCGGGGCCCTGGACGAATGCCTTTGGCAGGGGCGAGGGCTTGATCTGGAAGGCCGGATGCCCCGTCTCAGTAGTCTCCAAAAGTAGATCCTTCACGCCAAGGGCCTTGAAGGTAGCTCGATTTTCCGCAACATCCAGAAGCATCCCCATCTTGCCGAGAGCACCGCGGGAGACGAGGAGCGGCACATCCCCGTTTACCACTGCCACCTTCAGTCCAACCTTGTAGCCGCCCATCTCAAAGCACAAAAGGATCCCGTAGCTCGCCACGAAAACTTTTGAAGCACCGAACTTGAAAGCCTCGCGGCACGAGGTGAACTGAGGATCACACTCAAGTCGACGGGCCTCGGTCACGTAGGTGTCCACCCAGGCCGCGCCAGCCACCGAGCGCGAGCATGCCGTGTCCGTAATGGCCAGCAGGTCCTTGTTCTGGTAGCCCTCAATCTCCCAAGTCACATGGACAACGTGGCAGGGGTACTGGGCCTTCGCGAACTCCTTCGTGTTCCCGCTTGTCCTCGCCGTAGATCCCGTAGTCGCCGAGCTCGAAACAGTTCCCTGTGCTTCAGAACTTCCACGGTTGAGGGGACAAATGGCGTCCTTGTGCCAATGGCCCCTCCGTTTACACCCGGCACAAAACGACTTGGCTTTTGCAGCCTTCAGCTTGTCCATAGCCAACTGCTTCAAACTTTCAGGGTCGCTGCCTCGGAGTTTAGCGTTCTCGCGGTACCGTTGTTTAGCCGACTCATG